TGAGAGTTTCTTGCCACACTGAGTTCATCACGAACTATTTGAACACCCAACCCACCAAAACAACAACAAAAAAACAAAACAAAAAACAAACAAATGACAACAAAAGACAGAGATGAAAGTAGGAGTTAGAAAAGTTCATAGAAAACTATTTTATACTATAATTTTTTATTACTTAATTACTATAGGATTAGTCAAAATGATATTTCATTGAATTACTTTGAAATCTACCTTCTATATTAAAATTTGTATAAACAAAAAAAATAATATTAATTTCTTTAGTATAACAAGTAGAACCCAGTACTTAATATTCTATAGTAGTAAGATTTAAATTTACTAAATTTAAGTTCTGATCCACAAGTTCAATAAAACAAATTAATATTAAATAATATTAATTAAACAAAATTAAAAATAAATTTTATATATTAGTTTGTTCATTCTTTTTATTTAAATTATAGGAATATAATCATTCTAAACAATTTGAATAAAACTTTTAAGTGTAGTGTCACAATTATGAAATTCAATGTATCTTCTAAAATTCATTTTTTAGCATTTCAGTACAAATCTAAATACATCGAGAAGATAAAAAAAAATTCGCTTAAGAACATTCTGCGTGCTTGTAGGTTTTTAAGTAAATAAAATTATAGAAAAAGTGAAAAATTATTATTAGAAGCTAAAAACTTCTAATACTCGCTCTAAAAATAGACAACTCCGATAATTACAAACACGAGTTATTTCCCTTGAACTGGTCAGTTGACAGTCATATTTCTGCGGGCATGAGAAAGCGACCTTAACAGAAAAAAGAATAAATAATTTTCCTAGCTTATAAATCAGTATTCGGTAAAAATATTAAATTCTCAATTTTTATATATTTTACAATTAATATAGTCAAACTAAATTCAGTTGGTATCTTAACAATAAGAAAATTTTCGGAACAGAAAAAACTCATCACATTTATAAATTTTTAGCAGTATTTAAGAAGAAAAATATCCAGATTTTCTACTTATAAATAATTCATACAAAAACCATTAAAATAAAAAATATTAAATAGAAAACCAAAAAATCTATCCAAGATTAACAAAATTTTAAACCAATTTCAAAATGGTTTTACTATCTTGCCTAGAGATTATTAAAGATGACAAATTGTAATTTGAGTGCCAAAAGTAATAGATTATGAGCTGAGCATAAAAAAAATATGTGTAGCTCAAATATGGAAATTTTATGAATTTAAAAATTGTCATAGCTTCTGTTTTCATATAAGTCATATTATATTTCATTAGTATATTTATAGGTATAAAGTGAAAGTTATGTTCAAAGGATGCCATACTATTTCATTAAAAAAACTCAGAAAACAAACTTCATATATTTTAATTTATCGTACTGTTTGTAAATTTAGCTTAAAACATACACCATCTTAGAAAAAAAAGAAAAACAAAAACAAAAAACAGTCAGTATTTATCCGCAAATTAAACACTAGAAAACTGACCATTTTTTAAACAATTAAAAAATACAAAACAATAATCGAGTGCTAGTAAAAATATTCAAGGTGATTACCGATTGATCACTTATTTCTTTCTTTTTTTTTTTTTTTTAAAGATGATGTGAAAATATTCCTCCAAATTTAAAAACCCATTCAACACAATTCGGAATTATCGACTTGAGATTAGCTGGAACGGATAAGGTGACAAAGACAACCATATTTATCTCCCTTGCCCTAGATAAAAAAAATATTGGCTGTAATTACTTTTAAAATTACAAAAAAAAAAAAAATCTAAATTATTTTTGAGCGTCAAATTAATTTGTATATGCGATGTATAAAATTGAAGTAATTACTCGAATCCTTCATCGTTAATTTGATTATCATTCTAAAACAAAAACCAAAATCACATCTGATGAAATGGACAAGCAACATCTTATGATAGGAAACCAAAATGAAAAATTAAAATTATTTTAATTATCCGGTACATTCGACAACAACGATGAGACATAAAGGCATCAATAATTACTAATTATTGCTATAATGATTAAATTAACATTAACATGAAGACAGCAAGGATGAGCCAAAAAATCTATAATAATTATGTTATAATTAAATTTGATCATTCTTTTAAATTTCAATTATTTACTGTTAATAAGAGAATTTATTGAATTTTTCCAGCCTTTAATTTTTACTAGTGCATAATCGATGAGAAAAAGTTGGATGCTGTTTAGGATTTATCTCCCCTTAGTGAGTCAACGGTATGTTTAATGTTGCGTTAGGAATTGAAATTTATTTTGCTTGAATGTCAAGAGCATTTCAAAAAGAATATTAAAAAAAATATTTATAAATATTTGAAATCATAAGAAATAGTCTAAAGTTTATGCTCCATAAGAAAAACTGAGTCGAATGCATACAATTCCTTTTTATTCATTTCACAATTAATATTTTTATTAAAAAAATAAAATTAATATATTCTTACTTTAAAAATAACATTTTTGAAAGCAGTGAAATAAAAATTTGCCTAAAAATCTGTAAATAGTGAATAATATTAAAATTTGTAAACAGTGAAATAAAAATTTCCCTAAAAGAAAATGGTCTATACAAGAACTCTTCCATAAAAATGTATGTAATTTATGTTAATATCAAACTCACCCAACCAAAAATTTGCCTGTTTGAAATCATTCATTTCTAAAAAAATATTTAAATTTATGATAGATTCACCTCCTTTGGTCAGAAAACTTGATAAATGTCTGCATTCTGTCAGAGTTTTTATAATGATTTAAATATATTTTACAGATATTAACTCAAATGATATATAGGAATAAAACTGAATACAAAGAAAAAATATAAACAATGAAGTAGAGGTTTTTTTCTTGATAAAATAAAAACCTCAAGTGATATGTTAAGATAAAATATACATATCTTTTCTCAGTTAATTTAGTTCAAGCCTCTATCAGTTTTAAAGGTTTACTTCACTCTAAGCTCACTAGAATCAATTTTCAAACTGTATTGATTTCTGATTATTTTTACATTTTAAAAAATCATAGATAAGTTAATATTTCAACATTATTCATTCTTTAAGATTTTGATAAAAATCTAAAACATATTTTTATATGCACATGTTGAATATGACCAGTTTAGAGATAATTGCTTTATAACGTAAAAAAAACCCATTAAATATCTCAATAAATTCAGATTTGGTAATATGGAAAAATTAGATAGATTTAAATTTGTAGCAGATACAGTATTAGAATGTAGTCTATTAATTAATCAATTTCAGACAAAACCTTTTTACTGAAAATTATTAATAAGATATGTTATCTCTACGGAATGGATACCAGCTTAAAATAACCTTTAACTAATTTATGGAGAAAGATATAAATTACACAGCATTTCAAAAATATATCAAATTATCAATCTGCAAAGTTTCAGTTTTTAAGCATGTAAAGTTATTAAGCTATTAGAAATGGTATATACTTCAAGTAACATGCACTCAAATAGAACCTAAATTTTTTCTGTTAAATATTTGCTTATATTTTTGTGTTTAATATTACTTTCCAAATGCAATTTGTGTTTAATATTACTTTCCAAATAAAAGACTGTTAAGTACTCTAAGCAAAAGTTCAGCTTCTTGTGTCTAGTTTATTTTTTGTCATATCAAATGAAACATCAGTTCCTGTACAATCATGCTTGGTCAGTAAGTAGATGGGTAACCACTTGGGAATACCAGGTGCTGTAAGCTTGGATGTGCAGGTGTTGTAATGGATAATGTCTTGGAACTGTTAATTGGAGGGCAGAGTTCTAATTCCAGTTGAGTTTATTATATTCACTTACACACAAATATCTTTGAGAACGAAATGAATCCACTTCTTCTTCCCCCAGCTGTGGGTTAATTAGTCATACTTGTATCAGTAAATCATCTCAAAAAATAAAAATTCTTACAATCTAAAATTATTTTCTGGCTTTAAATAACCCGCAAAAGGTTGATAAGCCATAAAAAAGATCAATTAATATGATATTCATAAGAAGAAACTGAACCAAAAAAAAAAAAAACTGTTTTGTAAAAATCACCTCAACAATTTCTTGATTATAACAATTTTGTATTTTCACTTTTCATGCATTTTTCTTTTTATAAGGCCAATTTTCAACCCCTGAACTTTCTACAGCCCATTTCTACATTAGTGCTAGTGATTAGTGCTCAAACCCAACTAAACAGTAAAGATTTTACATGCCGAAACCTGGCCCTCCCAATTTGGAAAATAAGTGTACATAAATCTCTATCGACTTCAACAGTTGCCTTTTAGCTGAGTAAATGACTATAAGAATATCCAAGTCCAGGGACTAATTTCTCCTGACTGAACATTTAACCGAGAGGGAACAAAAGTTATTTGTAACTAAATATATATTCTATTGAGAAGCGCTTTACAGGAATGTTTATATAATATATATGTCTAACCTATTACTACTCCAATGTCAAGCTATCATTACCAGCTAGAATATTTATTAATGGTAGCCTTCTCCTCTCAACACATTCTAATAATTGTAGACTTTTTCTAACTGATACAATTTACTTGCATTTTTGATTATATTTCTGAATAAGTATTTTATGATAATAGGATTAAAAATCCCTTTTAATTGAGAAAACAAAGTTCTTTTTATTAAAACATTCCACTGATTTATGTATAAAGATTGAATTATTGTTGGAAAAAAAAATTAGTCAAAATTTAAGACATCAAATAATGAAAAGCATAAATAAGCTCTTTCTTTATTTACTTTGGTGTAGTAGTCATTCAATGTTAGTTTTCCTTTTATTGTTGCCTAAATTTCTAGATTAAATTACATTTTGGATTATTTATGAACAAATATCCCAAAACTGGTTCAAGCATCTTTAGTAACAATAATAATAATAATGATAAAAAACAAAGATGCAGATATGAGATTTATTATAGGTAGCAAAAAAAAAAAAAATTCTTATTTCAAATAATGTCACAGTGTTCCTTTAGATTTTAATAAGATATTATATTCATATCAAGTTGTCATCGTCATCAATGTTATCATAAACGATATCAATATAAATATATTCAGAATCAAGAAAGATTCCTGGTGTGATTAATATGAGTTGGAGGTTGAAGAAAAAAATTGGCATGGAACAATTTGAAACTGCCATTTGGTTGGCTGGTTGAAGGGCCGAGTAGCAGTCGTTAAGGCAGTGAGAAAGAGGAGTGAATCCCCAATTTGTCTTTGTGCATGGAGTGGCATTCCTATTTGGCACAATGGAGAAGAAGTAAGGAGAAGCCTGAGAAGGACAAAGAAATAATGAGAAGGTGGGAGGGAAAGTGTAAGTAGTGAAGGGAGGGAGAGAAAGTGATGAAAATGAAGAGGAAAGTAGACAGAGGATGGAGGAAGAGGAGGAGGAGAGAAGAAGGTGATTGAAATGAAGAAAGAATGGTGAAAAAGAGGTAAAACAAGTGGGAAGGGTTAGGGCTAGTGGGGGAGGGTCTAAGAGTGAAAGAGGAAATAGGAAAAAGAGTAATGAGAAATGACAGATGGGGGAGAAAACAAGAGAGAAAGAGAGATAAAAACCAGCGGGAGAGAGAAAAAGTATGAGAGTGAGAGGGATAAAACAAAGAGAGGAAGAAAACAAAGGCGAGAGGGATAAAATAAAGGGAGGGCGAGAGGGAGAAAACAAAGGGAGGGAGAAAACAGAGAGAGGGAGAAAACAGAGGGAGGGAGAAAACAAAGGGAGGGAGAAAACAAAGGGAGGGAGAAAACAAAGGGAGGGCGAGAGAGATAAAACAAAGGGAGGGCGAGAGGGAGAATAAAGAGAGAAGGATAAAAAGAGAAAGAGACAAAAAGAGAAAGAGGGAAAAAGAGAGAGGGAGAGAAAAAGAAAGAGTGAGATGAAAAGAGGAGGTGCTCAAATAGTAGAGTTAAGAAGGGAGGATAATTAAGAAGAAAGAAGAGTAGGAGGAATGATTAAACAAAGAACTTGTAAGGCAAGTCAGAAGGAAAAAGCTACAAGAAAATGAATATATGATTGACAAGAGAGAAACAAGTCACCACGATAAATTAAAAAGAAAAAAATTAAATTTCTCAACAAAATTATTTGACACTTGATCGTCTTTAGAGTTACTGAAGTCACAACAGAAAACTGAAATTTACTACACACAGCAAACAAACAAGCTTTTAAGACAACATGCAATGCAATAAAGGATTTTTAATAAAATCTTCCGTTACCGTTTGTTAACTTGATAAAACCTTCCTGTTTAAGGAAACATCTACTTACCTGCAATGAGAAAAAGAGGAAAAAACATTAAATTTTAAGGAAAAAAAAATTATATATGTATATATGGGAGAAAATGATACATAAATTTTTATATAACAGAATGTGAGATATTTAATAACAAAAGTGATAAAAGTATAAAAAAAAGAAAGAAAAATAAACTAAATGAAACAGGTTAGACTATATCCAAACACAAATCTGAAAAAAAAAATTTTTAAAAGGTTTAAAGTTTGGTATTCTGTTTCCTTCATGCATATGTGCAATTATATCAATGTAGACATCACTTTAGTCTGATAAACACCTAAATGATGAAACACATCACTCAAAAGTTGTTTTTTTTCTAATATATATATATATATATATATATATATATATATATATATATATATATGTGCGTGTGTGTGTGTAAAAAACACACACACAAGAAAGTATTTAACAGTTCTTGGCCTGACCCACTTCCCAAGATCTGACTAGCCATCATATTATTTTTGTGGGGCTTCTTAGCTGAGCCAAGAATTTTCAACATATCCTTACATATACCCGAGGATTGATCCAAAAGTAATGCTTCCTCTTTTATTATCCTACAACTTGATGTTTGTGGAATGGCAGTAGATACTGAACCTTCATGCCAATAAGCCATATTTGGTTTTTGCCTTGTTACAAATAGCAACTAAGTAGCAATCTAGCAAAAGGACGTCTGATCTGACAGTGAGTATGAGGCAACAATTGACATTTCATGCTTGCTGAATGTTTAGAGAGACCAAACAGTGGATGTGAGCACAGTTAGGCATGCTTCTACTGTGCTCACTCTATTGCAGTTTGTATGGAAAGTATTTTTGGAACAGCTCTCTCTCTCTTTCTCATGGGTATGTGTGTGAATGTGTGTTGACATGCTAATCAAAACTAAAAAAAATATCTTGTAAATAAAAACTATTTATTGTGTCTGACTTAGTAAGTTTGAGTATTACCACTTGCAAAACTGGAGCAACACAATCTTTCTATTCAGAAATGTGGCATACTGGACAACACTTAGAGAATATCAATTTACTTTATTACTATATGAAAACATACATAATAAAAAAAAATGCTGCTCTGATTTTGGCAGGGCAACAAACTTGTAGCTAAGTCATAGGTTTTACAAGTGTTAAGCAGGTAATATTTGTTTAATTGGCTCTCCAAAACTGGTGTCAACTAAATCAAGTTTTAACAAATTTTTGCTTTGTTGTGAAATTATTATCTACTAGTGTATTCATGCTGTCAAAATTTGTTATAAAGTTTTAATAGTGAAATGCAATGAAACAAAAGACTTGAAACAATGCATTGAGATTCAATAAAGTGAAGATAAAGAATTTGCAACTAAAATAGAAGCCAATGAACTGTCTAATTAATCCATTCCCTTTATATTTTTTTTTAGACATTCAGTGGCATCTATGACTCATTGATTACTCCTGGTATTATATAAGTCACTTTTAGCTCAATATCTTTTCATGTTAAGAATTTTATGTGTTTAATATAACAGTAAAATAGAAATATCTCTTAGAAGGAAAAGATTAGCAACAGAATGATAAAGACGGCAATAGCAATGCCTACTTCAAGATAAAGTTGAAGCAAAACAATCACATAATAGACAAAGGTATCTGAGTGCCTCACATGAAAAGCTTGAAGAAATAAAACTGCAATTGAAGAAATGTAGGAGTTACAGGAGCTGGTTCATTTTGCTCAGTAACCAATTTTGTCTAAATGCAGATAAATATTTGTATAGTTTATTAAAATGACTAAGGGAAGTAATCATTCAAAATGTACTAACTTAAGTTGATTTATTTCACTTTGCAATACAGATGGGATAGATAATTGATAATTATAATATAGTTTGAGTGAGTGATGACTGAAAGGTCAAAGTTTTAAATCTTTGGTGGTTGTAGTGAAATTGTAAATATATTTATTTTGGAAAAATAAATAAATATGAAATAAAAATACAAAATCCATTTCATGAGGTGTCTATTGAACAGTTTAAAATCCTCCTCATCAAGCATTTGGGTGGATCAAAACAGGATCTAGAATCATTGAGAGTCATGACAAGGATCAAAATTGTTTATGCAGCCTAATGGGGTATTTCCTATCCTGCAACTTCTTTCCCACAGATACAAATGTTACTCTATCACTATTTCCATGGCAAATGTTCAGATGTTCTCTATTCTTTACTGCCACCAGCTCAGACTTTTATAGCCAAGATCCACTTTCCTATGTATTCCTTTGGTACAAAGGAAGTTCCAATACAAAAGATTCTTCCCAAGAACCAATACTTTGTGGAACAGATTCCTGAGTGGATGTTTCCCCAAACAAACCATTTTAACTTCTTCAAATTTAGGGTCAATCGTTATCTATTTACTATATCCCTTTAACTGCCTATTTCCTTCTCTTACATTCATAGCACACAACTCATTCAGTAATTCTCTACCTTGAGTTCCTCTTAGGCACTGTATTGGGTGAACTTTATTAAAAGAAAAAAAATAAGCAAGCTGATTGGTTGAAAAATATTTATCCATCCAATACTGATTGCTGGAATTCTTGTTCAACTTATAATTGGAACTTGGAAGCATCGTTTGCTAAGTAAAATTTATCACCAATCAAAAAAGTATATTTATGTTAATCAGCTTGCATAGATTCCAGAGCCTATTTTCATCTACCCGGATACTGTATAAGTCAATATCATGTACAAGTTCCCTGAGAGGTGATCACATACAGTCATCAAGTATGAATTACACAACCCATGCAATTGGCAATTTTGGTTAACCTAATACACCAACCATGTGACTATCAATACCCACATCATCACATCACACCATATCCAAGGTCACAGCACTAAATGACCAGCATTGTGTCAAAAACTTATGTTCTCGCCAATGGACTATTTGGCCTACAACTATAGCATTTGGTATACTGTTAGCAATTTCACCAATTGCACTTATGAATAGAATAGACAAGGTCATTTGTTACTAGCTGGATTGGTGGAAATTTTACAGGTTTTGGAAACTAAGATTATCCATTATCTCATATCCTCGTTCTTCTCTCATTCTTTGTATCTTTTCATTCTCTCTCTTATTCCTGCTTTTCTTTCACCTTTTGTCTGCATTTTTTAATCCTTTCCCTACTTTTCTCTAACCTTTTGCCTGTATCTTCACATGCTTAAAAATAATAACTTCTATTTAATTACACTTTCATAAATATAGAGCATTTGATTATTTACATCATTTACATTATTTAGACTTTTATCCTCATCTTCCATGCCATATTCACAATGTTTCAGCTGTTGTATGCTCCGGCCTTCCTCAGGTGATTAGAATAATTGGCTTTATTTTGGTTTGAAATTCCAATCACCTGAAGAAGGCCAGAGTGTACAAATGGCTGAAATGTTGTATATAAGGCAATGAAGATGAGAATAACAGTCCAAATAATGTAAATAATAATACCTCATCTCAGAGATATAGACAGATATAGAGCATTTGATATTGTCAAAAACCATTGCTCAAATGATTATTTCCTGTAATTATAATTCAGAGTGTGCAGTATACATTAGTCTGCCATGACATATTTTAGAGTGCACAAAGTATACATGCTTGCAGTGCTATCCTTCTTTGATTAAAATTTGCTTCAAAAGGTCAACAGCCAGAGTGTCTGTAATGAATGTACAGGTAGTTTCTTTCATTGCCAACATGAGTGTGAAAAAAACAGGAATAGAAGCTTATGAATGCAAAGAACTTAATATGATTTACATCTGATGGAAGTCTCCAGGTTCCTACCCCTTCCAGGTGTGCTGAGATTTTACCAGTGAGGAATTTTGGTTTAAATGTTGACTTCTGACATTCTAGTTAGAGTATATATACACACACACATATATATGTATATATAATAAAAATTTTTTTATTCAGTTTTTCTAATGTCCAAATGGCTTTCTTTTATGAGGACAAAGAGTGTGTAGAAACAGTCCATAGAGATTATCGTCCCAAGTGTTTTTTTACTAATTCTTTAACCATTTTCAAAGGAATGGGCAATTTTCATTGTTAATATATTTTTCTGTTTGGATTCCGTGCTGTGTTGTATAGGAGTAGTAGTAATTCCATGTTAGGGTACCTTGCTAAGTCCATATGTTTTCGCTGGTTTCAAAGCAAGAAATGTTAAGGGTAAGTCTGTATATTTTTATAAAAAGTGTTTCAGTTATCTTTAAAGATTTTTTACATTTAGATGTTTTTAAAATGACAGTATTATCTACATGGACTTTTCTTATTACATTTTTTTTTTAGAAGTAGACTAATTGTCTAGTAAAATAGGGTACAACATAGCCATTTCAATGCAATGAATACAAACACTGCGGATGGTGATTAGACTATAATTATATTAACAAAAAGATAATGAAATTGTTCTAAATGTTTTGGACACTAAGTATTTCACCTGTCTGTAAATCTCCCAGCTATAAATGCTATTATCCTGAACATTATTTGCAACCGTTCTTATTGGCATGATAGTTTCAGAAGTTATAATGAATTTGGTCTTCTTGGGTGCCATAGAAATCTAGTGTTGTGCTCAATTTAGTTCATTATCCAGCCATTTTAATCATTCATTTTTTTTCTTACAGTAATGTTGGTAACATCATGTTAACGATGTGGAAAACAAAACTAGTAAACTGTTTAGGCACTGTTTAGGTTCAATTCTACCTTTAGAAAGGTAAAATATTATTCCTATACTCAGTTCTTGTACCAGGAAAATTGACAAAATTTCTTGCACACACATGATCTTACTTATTATAAAATCCAGGTTGTGTGTGTGTGTGTCTGTACGTTTATATATTGGATCAGATTTCTTACATTTTTCAACTGATTTCAACAAAACTTCACAGGACTACGTAAAATTACCTTGCGGTGGTTCTGACAGCACCAAAAATTGGAAAAAACAATTGTTTTTGCACGAAATCAATTTGAAAACACGATTAAGAGGCATTAATGAAAGGGGGGCAACTCATATCGAGTTATACTT